GAAGACCTTGCAGACGTGGTCGAAGGTCTTGCTGCTACGCTTGCGAACGTCCACGGCAGACTGCTGGGTCGCCCTCTTTGTCGCGAGCTGCCTCAAGGCCTGGTCTTGGTCGGCAGCGAGCATCGTATCTCGCACGACCTCTTCCAAGTCCACGGCAGCCCCTTCGCCCCACGCCGATGCCTCGTTCCGGTTGAGCAAGCGACCCATGACCTCCTCCTTGGTCAACGTCGGGTCCAACGACAAGAGGCAAGCGATCGTCAGTCGGTCGTCCTCGTCGTGGCCGGTGTCCGTGGCCTCGGCAAGCCAGCCTTTGATCGACCCCAGCTGTCGAAGAGAGGCCTCGCTCACGCCAGCGAACCCGTACTGCTCGTGGTGCTGCAGCAAGGGTCGTTTGGCCAGAACTCGAAAGACCACGCCGAGGCCCCGGTTCTCGCCGAGAGACTGGGAACCTGCATCGTGGCACGCTGTGATTTCGAGCTGTTCTGCTGGCTGAGGGTCTTCTATTGCAGCAATTATAGAAATTATAATTATAGGGCTTGGGGCTGAGGCTTTAGGGTTCTGGGTTTAGGGTTGCCTTTAGGGTGTGTTATTTGGATGACTCACGGCTGTTTAGGGTTTAGGGACTGGGCAGCAGGGTTACGGTTCAGGGCTCTCTGCTCGAGACTTATAGTGGCTAAGCAAAAATTAACCAAAAAAACTCATAGAAAATACCAAGCCACGCAGTGGCGACGTGGCTGCGAGGTCCAGAACGACGACGTTGTCGTCGAAGGTGTGCACCCAACAGAGCGACGACACGTCGGGCTGCAGGACGAGCCTCTCGCTGCCGTCGCCGAGTGGCTCCAACGTCGCTGGCCACACGAGAGCCGCTCGCTTGTAGGTGCGAACAACGTAGCAGGGCGGGCACCCCTCAAAGGCAAGGCCAAAACCTTCGGGCAGCAGCGAGGCCCACCAGCCTCGCTCCACGAACGACCAGTCCTTTTTGTCTCGAACCACCTTTGCCAGCAAGGAG